TACAAGGTCCCTTCCGACCCTACTTCTACGATTCTATGATTTTACTCATCAGTACCAGCAGAACATGGTGATTTACCTCAAGAGACAGCAGCAGAACAAACTTCAGAAGAACCACCAGACTACAATAAGCAAGAGTTTCATCACATACCAGAGAATCCACCAGTACCCACAGAGGAACCTGATGACACCACACAAACTAAGAGTGGTTGTGTGGTGAGATTCCCTGTGAAGTACAAGGACTATATAATGGGATACAGGTAAAGGCTAGACCCCACCAGTGAGCCAAGTTCTGGCTCCATGATCCTGAAATGTTCCATGTTAAAGTAGCACCTGATGAACATCCAACTATTTAAGAGGGAGCTCCCAGAGTAAAGAAGGGAGATGTGGTATATGGAATGTACCTTTAAGGGACCAGCAGTGGGATGATCCACTCTCTCCCCTTGATGCCATGTGGATGTGGTTTGTGGAGGTGTGTAGTTGTAGTTCTCCCTGCAAACTGTGAGCATGTTAGTTGCTGAATCCTGTTCCTAATAAAGACAAAGCTGTTTACCATCCCACCAGCCTCTGCTGAATGGTGACTCAAGGACAGAACCCCAAAGTCATGGAGGTCTGTGTGAGTACCCCATCCCTAGAACCCACTGGCATAGAGTAAACATTATAAAATGCCCAAACCCTGTGCACTAAAGCTTCCTTAGTCTTGGTTTGTGAATAGTACTTAAATACCTATCTGACTCTGACCTTCACTTTAATAAAATTGTTATACAATTGTGTATGTATAGGCCACTTTATCTGGATGATAAACTGTAGATATGCATACACCATAAGTTAGGCACAATAACTAGGCAATGGGCTAGATTTTAAAGGTAATCAGTCACCTAGAAGGGTTGCCAAAAGGAATATAGATGCATATGTGCATCTTTAGGCCACTGAAATACCATTACAATGTTTCTTCAAGTAACCACCAAAGGTTTTGAATGCCAGTAGTAGGTATGTCATGTTTGTGTATGTTACTTTACAAATCAGAAGCTCTGCTTCACAGGTTTTCTTTACGTTAACACAGAGGCCAAAAAGGGAAGTAGCATTGGCAAAGGAATTCAGTAAATGCAGCAGGGCATTCTTAGAAAGGGCAACAAATGCTGAGTCAGCAG